GGGGGGGGTTACTAAGGTGGAGAGTGTGGTTGGGGAGGGGCTTTGGGCGAGGAAAGGAAAGATGGCTGCGAAAGTGGGCTGCACAGGTGTCCATGGAGGGACGTTGGCCTAGAGTGTCCTGCTGCAAGCACCACCATGGAATTCCGCAGGATAGAGGAATGTAGACCGCTGCACATTCCGAGCACCACTGCAACAAAAAGGCATGCACCGTCTCGAAGCCAAACACTTTCTCTACCTCCCCACCATTCTTTACCCCGATTCAAACAGCACATCCACTCCCTTGCCTGGAGGGGGTCTGGGGCCTCGAAGCTACGGGTCGTCCCCGCCTCGTTGTCCAGCACGGTGACCGCGTTGGCGTGCGCCACGATCTCCAGCGACGGGTGCGCCCCCACGAAGCTGTACCGCCCCTGCTGCGTACCGTTGATCACGGATTCAAAGAGGAAGGAGGGTGCCTCTCGGTCGTCGGCGCGGACCAGGCAGCGGTAGGCGGAGACGGGGGTGAGCTGGTCGGAGAAGACGCGCTCGTACAGGGGGACGAGGTTACCGGACTTGGCCGCCTCCCGGAAGCGCGAGAACTCGGGGGAGAAGCTCAGGTCCGCCTCCAGGGCGCGCTCCAGCTCTGGGGGGGCCATGGGGTGGGTGGGGATGTACACTTGCTGAAGGTGGGCGGTGGGAGAGCGAATGTGCATATCGCAATGCTTCCTGTAGCCGCACTGCACTCCAAGGGTAACCATATGGGCATCCAGTACCAAGGCATACAATCCCCAGGCCCCCAATCACCCACCTGCTGAGGCGAGGGGCCCAGGCCTGGCACTGGCACGTGGGGTGTGACAACAGCGATGCTGGTGCTCTGCCCGGGGCAGGAAGGAGCATGCCTGGGGGCTAGAGGTCCAGGGGCGAGGTGTCGGCAGGCTGGGGCGGGGAGATGGGGAGGCGCGGCATGCCGAGGCGGGGCCCACGCAGCCCTGGCTCCCGCTGGTGGTGCAGACCGGCGAGGTCTGCCGCATCATCCTTCCAAGTTCTTCCCAAATTTTCAAATGCTGCCGTTACGGCAATTCATTTGCCAAATATGTGTCACATCGTGGGACGAGCGTGGGCATGGCAAGTACTCCCCACCCCGGGCCCCCATGTACGTCGTGCCCAGCACGCCGAGCACCCCCGTTCAGCATTAGGCATTCTGGGCGCAAAGATGGGCTGGCCGGTACCCTGCTCACACATACCAGCTAATGTAATATCGAGGGTGGTCACCCTAGGTCTAGGATCCTCTCTTGGCGTTGTGGGAAGACAGTCGCCCCTGCAGGCTCGCACCTCCATCGGCTCGGGCTCCCACTGCGGGTTGCGGATGGCAGGCATAGCCCACAGCTTGAGGCAAGCACCGTGCCTCGCGGCTCTGCGGGGCTGCGCCAGGCTTTCCACATCCGCGCCTGTGCGTGGACTCGAGGAGCTCATCGTCAAGGCCCCTAAGGAGGGCGAGGCGGTCGTCAAAGCAGGTCCGTGGGGCAGGGTGATGGGGAGCAGGTCTGCTGATGCCTGCTACTTTCGAGTGAGAATTGCATGGCACCTTGTTCGACGTCGTCCTTCCCAGGCCGGGCATGGGAGGCCGCTGAGCTGCGGTTGAAGAGCTGGGACGACCTGCACGCCCTCTGGTTTGTGCTCCTGAAGGAGCGCAACAGGCTGCACGCCGAGCGTATGATGCACCAACATCTGAAGACCAACATGCCGGAGATCACACGCTACAAGAAGGTATGTGGGCGTGCCTGAGGAGGGAGTCGTGCTGCTCTTTCCCTACCCACTGCAAGGTCGAGGGCCATACTGAGGAAATCCGTACGTTTGGTTCCACAACGTGCAGGTGAAGCTCTCCATGAACCGGATCAAGCAGGTCATGAGCCAGCGAGCACTCAATGAGCACACCGACCCGATTGTGCAGGCCAAGTTGAAAGCTTTCATCAACGCCCTTTGAGCCCTTGTTTGCCGTGGCTTAGTCCAAGCTGTCATGCTGTGTCTTATCAATCTCTCCTGACGAAGATTGCAATGATTGTAATCCAAGGATTGCGGAAGGAGTATGCAGTGCGCACCAGAGCAAGACCATTTTCGAAGAGAGTTGTTTTTCTAATCGACAGCCTCGAGTAAACAGAAACTCCTGGGCTCCTGATGTGGCAGAGTAAGTTGGCAAAGGCCAAGCAGCTCTCAGGGTAGGGGTGCTCATTGCCAGCATAATGCTTCTACAGAACCAGCTCTTCACCTCTGCAGCACTATGGCAGCTGACACCATGCGTGCTTGGGATCCAGCATGAGTGTGCCGTCTGGGCGATGTGAACTCTCCCCCTTAGGCCAGAGCAATACTGCCGTCACTCCTGCAGATTGCTCTCGGTGTGGGAGCAGACATGTGGCGACGGCATACAGGAGTCAGAGGTTCCAGCGGCGGCAGATCCTGCCTGGAAGTGGATGGTCGAGGTGCACAGTGAGTCCAACAACAAAAACATCAATGTGTGGACGGCCGAGGTGGTGGAAGCCTGCAAAATTTCGGCTCTTTAGCCTCTGACGAGCCAGTCTAGGTAGATAGTGAAAACATCAGCACTGCCAACAAGACTGGCCGTATCGCTTGTCATATCCGTCGTTACTGTACCTCGGTAAATTAGCAGAAACGGAACATGTTCCAACGCCCAACCCCTCCCGATGGTGTCCAGGCGCCAAAATTTGCCACTCGTGGACCTCTACCATCAGGTTCGACAAGTGTATCTGCCAGAGCTCATGCCCATCGTCAGATCGTCTTGTTAATTTGTAATGGGTCCGTAAGTCCGCGGGGTTGACGTGGTGGAGAATGGGTCCCTCGAGTCGGGTCGAGATGTCCGGGGTTGTTTGGCCACAAAGGCCAGCGTCGACCCAGCCTGGACAGCGCCGGACCTGCTCGTAAGACTGTCAAGACGGCGTTCGTCCTTCCACTGAAGAAGAAAGGCCATGTTTACCATTACAGGTCGGTTCGACCAAGAGCTTACACCGTAGCGAAAACAGGCAAGGTTGTTCGATCCTGCCGCGAAATTGTCGTGTAGCATGGGATCTCGTGAATGTATTTGCAGTCCTATCTTCCAGGTCACAGCTTCGAGACACCCTCCTGTCAAGCAGCCACCTGATCGCTTCTATATCGCTTTTCATCGCCTTCTCCGTCCCACAGTGAACAGTCGAGCGAAGCAAGTACACGGCGAAGCCCGTCGTTTGCCGAGACACCGCCCACGTCGGTTCCCAAACGCGCAATGGCACCGTGAGTACCTGAAACGTACAGTGGGTGCTGTTGAATGAGGATTTTGGTGGTGGGTTGTGGTGGTCTTGGCCAAGGAAGCGGGTGGGGTTGTGTCCTCGTGTGCATGGAGACGTGGCATCCGGTTCGTCGTCTGTACCGTCTGTCCTCCTCCCGACATGATGACTCAGCGACGGGACCCCCCCCACCTGCCACAGGGAGCGATCTGTGATCAAGAGGCTGAGGCCCAACAACTGGGACCCCTCTCAGGAGGTGGAGTGGACCGAAGACTAGAAGGAGCTTGCCAGGGAGCGCAAGAAACTGGTCCTGGATATACCCGAGTTTTGGCAGTGGCGCCGTCCTTTTGAACTCGACCTGTTGGAGGAGCAGCGCATCTCGGAGGAGGCGAGGCGTCAATTGCTGGCGGCTCGACAGGAGGCTGCTACCGCCGCTGTGGAAGCCCCGAGGTGAGGAAGAATGTGGTGGTGCAATGTGCTGGGTCCTCGGGGAGAAGGGGGGGTATACCCGGGAGATCTGACGGCAGTACAATTGTTGGTATACACAGGTTGGCCTGATGGGTGCACCCCTTGCACCGGCCGACAGCTTTGTCACTTCTGCCCTGCACATGTCTTGCAGTGAGTCGGGTGGACACACTCCACCCTTCAGTGGCGTGCCTCATGTCACCGGCGGCACTGCAGTGGAACCTTTGCCGGGGCGAGTGGATGGCGGCGGGCCCTCTACAAGGCACTCCGGCACCTCCTCTGACCAGGTGATTCGATTTTGATCGAGAAGGGTGAATGCTTGTGGCCTGTCAAAGGGGCGGGGATTGATAATGACGTTTGCATGTTACAAGGCCAGGCTTACATCTGATTCTGGACGACACAAAACACTCCCCTGACAAGCCTCCGACCCTTATCCTGTGCTACTCTGTGTTTCGACCATTGCAGATCCCCGGCCTGGCCCAGCACGATTCCTCCTCCGACGAAGATCCTCCCGCTGAGGTCGTTTAAGAGGAGCAGCGGCTTGCGGAAGCTGTCTTCGGCGATGCGCCCGCCGAGCAGACGGGCGGCACCTCGCCAGAGCAAGCCCTCGACACCAGGGTGAGACCGGGCATCTGACGGGGTTGGGGCGAGTGGATGGCGGCGGGCCCTCTACAAGGCACCCCGGCACCTCCTCTGACCAGGTGATTCGATTTTGATCGAGAAGGGTGAATGCCTGTGGCCTGTCAAAGGGGCGGGGATTGATAATGACGTTTGCATGTTACAAGGCCAGGCTTACATCTGATTCTGGACGACACAACCCCCCCCCCTCGACAAGCCTCCGACCCTTATCCTGGGCTACTCTGTGTTTCGACCATTGCAGATCCCCGGCCTGGCCCAGCACGATTCCTCCTCCGACGAAGATCCTCCCGCTGAGGTCGTCCAAGAGGAGCAGCGGCTTGCGGAAGCTGTCTTCGGCGATGCGCCCGCCGAGCAGACGGGCGGCACCTCGCCAGAGCAAGCCCTCGACACCAGGGTGAGACCGGGCATCTGACGAGGTTGGAGCGTGTGGTGCTATCCTTGGTTGTTGCT